TAGAGCCAACTAGATATTCTTACCTTGACAGAAAAAAGCAAGAGTGACGCGGAAGGAAAGCAAACTTCATTTGAAAAAGATATGCCTCAGACAAACTGCAGTAAACTGTATTTGAGGTTAGAGATGTAATTCAGGATTCTTATAATTAAAGCTACTTGAGTCGTGAGTAAAACTTAAAGCACATCTGGGCAACCTCTTCATCAAGAAAGGGGGACTCTGGTTGACGATTAATACTGTTAGTCATCCCTAATGTTGTACTGCATATATCATCTCCAAAGTTGGACATTGAATATATTTTATTTAATCTTATCCAATGTACATGTGTTTCTCGATGAACCGATGTTTTTCGATAGTAAATGTGATTATTACAAAATCATCTTCATAACATACAGAAAGGATGTTAAACAAATAGCTAACGACAAGAAGTCGAACTTAGCAAGGTCAAAAAAATGCCAAAGTAAAATGCAAAATAATGCGGCTTGAAACACAGGTTGTCGTCGTAGTGAGTCCACAGCGGTAGAGCTGGTGGTACGCGTACTAACCCTAGATAATGTGGTTGGAGCCTTGGTGGTAGACAAGCGAGTGGTATTCGCAATCCTACTTGTGTTAGTAGCCCTAGGGAATGTTGTTGGAATGTTAGTACTGGACGAGCTAGTGGAATACGCAATTCTAGTTGTTTTAGTACAAGGAAGTGTGGTTATAGCGGTAGTAGTGGATGAGCGAGTAGTATTCGCAATCCTAGTGTTAACATTAGGGGATGTGGAAGGACCTTTAGTGGTGGACAAACGAGTGGTATCCAGATTTTTAGTTGTTTTAGCACTAGGGAGCATGGTTGGTTGCTTTGTAGTGATTAATTGAGTGGTATTTGCATACGTCATCGTAGTAGATCCAGCAAAGTAGGCAAATCCCAGACGCTTTCCTTCTATATCGAATGTTACGCAGTATTCTTTGATGAAAGGAGCGCCAAACCACCACCATGCCGCATCTGATTTACTTTCACGGAAGGCAAGAATGCATCTGTCTTCTTCCTACAAATAATTGAATATGAGCACAAAAGGTGCACAAAGAAGAGCGTTATGTATTCAATCATCTCAATTCACCATAGAAAATTGACAATGGTTTTCATTGCTTCTACCTCTTAATTTTTGAATAAGTACCCTCCACATAAGTTTTGAAGATGGGAAACATCTGCTCTATTAATCATTTTTCGCTGAAAGTCAGTAAAGTATTTTTGAAATCTCATATTGCTGTATTTTGAAAATGATTGATAAGACAAAAATGAAAACATTTGCTGTATTTACCGTAAACCTTATTTTAATCTTAAATCAAATTTATAGGTCCAGTTTCTAAGTTCAAGGGTTCCACACAATGGCTAATGCGTCACTCGATTGATGCACAGGTGTTACGAATAATCAAGATATCTGGTTGCGTTATTTGAGCCCAAGGCTGGAGTTTCGCAAGAAGACAGTTTTGAAAAAAGACTGCAATTATTTACGA